ACTGTTGTGAGAAAAACATTCAGCGAATGATATTTCGTGTCAGCATGAACTTTTAGAGAGGTATTAATAGCTCATACTAGATTTGACATTTCTAAATGAATGGAACGAAATAATCCATACTTAATAGATGTGTTTACTTCATACTTAGAATTGTCCTTTTCTTATCCAATCACTTCTTCTTTTGTAAAGTGAAAATCTCATCAGTAATTTGTTTGTTTGTTGTAAAGCATAAAGCTACATAATGGTCTCTTTGTGCTCTACCCATCGCGGGTATCAAGGCCGGATTTTTAGCGTTGTAAGCTCGCTGACTTACAGCTGAACCACTTAACACATGTAATTATTCTGCGGGGGGATGTTGGGGGTGATCATTCAAATTTATTTTTTGATTAGTATTTTGCTTTCTATAATTTCCTTCCTATTTCGCCCCCCCCCCAGTGGTTCAGCGGTAAATTTGTATGCTTACAACGCTAAAAACTGGGTTTCGATACCCGTGGCGGGCACAGCATAGATAGTCCATTGTGCTACTTTGCGCTTAACTACAACAACAAACAAACAAAGCTTACTGGTTCCAAGTGTTGAATATGTATATCACAGCCTGGGGCTCTTTCAGTCGTGACATAACCAAGTTTCTCAATAAATACTTTATTTTATTTTATTTTTTTAAAGAAAAGATAGAAACTGAAGAACTAGCAACTGTTTGCTACCTGCATCTATCAGGACAAGTTCACTAGCGTATTATCATCATCCCACGATTGAAGTTCATGTTTTGTCCATTCTTTACATTTTCGCGATTGAAGGTGTAGTGGTAGTGCGCTCGTCTTCTGGTTATGAGCTGGTTTTCTTAGCTTAAAGACAAGAGTTTTTAGCATTCTAAGTTGGAATTCTTCCCTGGTAAGGAGAATGACGCGAAATAAACTGGTGGTAGTCACAACATTACATTCGTTTAGTTAGAGTTTCTAGCATTTTAAATTGGAATTCTTCCCGGAATGGAGGATGACGCGAAGCAAACTGGTGGTAGTCACAACATTACATTCGTTTAGTTAGAGTTTCTAGCATTTTAAATTGGAATTCTTCCCGGAATGGAGGATGACGCGAAATAAACTGGCGGTAATCACAACATTACATTCGTTTAGTTAGAGTTTCTAGCATTTTAAATTGGAATTCTTCCCGGAATGGAGG